ACCCTACCCTTCACCCTTACCCCCTCCCTACCCTACCCTACCACCCTACCTACCCCCGACCTCCCTACCCTACCCTTCACCCTTACCCTATCCCTACCCTACCCTACCCTACCCTACCCTACCCTACACCTACCCTACCCTAACCCTACCCTACCCTACCTACACCTACCCTACCCTACCCTACCTACCCTACCCTACCCTACTACCCTACCCTACCCTGCTACCCTACCCTACCCTACCCTACCCTACCCTACTCCCTACCTACCCTACCCCCTACCCTACCCTACCCTACCCTACCTAACCCTCACCTACCCTACCCTTCACCACCTACCATAGCCTACCTACCCTACCCTACCTACCCTACCCTACCTACCCTACCCTACCCCTTGTCACCCCTACCATACCCACCCTTCCTACCGCTACTCCACCCTATACCCTATCTACCTACCCATACCCCTTACCCTACCCCTAACCCTACCCTATCCTACCCTACTCCACCCTACCCGTACCCTACCCTCTACCCTACCCTAACCCTACCCTAACCCTACTCTACCTACCGCTACCCCTACGCCTACTCCTACGCCTTACCACTACCCACCTACCCTACCCTACCCTACCCTACCCCTACCCTGGGTATTTTTTAATTCCCCCCCTTAACATCCATATCAACCCCTACCCGGTGTCCTACCTCTCCACCTACCCTATCTCCCTACCCTACCCACCGCCTACCTACCCACCCTACCCCTACCCTTACCCTACAACGCCTACTCCTACCCTACCCTACCCTACCTACCTACCCTCCTACCCTATCCTACATCACTCCACCCATCCCTATTCCTACCCTACCCTACCCTACCCTTACCCTACTCATTCAACCTTACCCTAACCCTACCAAACTACCCATTACCCCTATCCTACCTACCTACCCACCCTACCCTACCCCTACCCTACCGCTACTCTACCCTACCCTACCCTACCCCCTACCCTCCCTAACCCTACCCTACCCGCCCTACCTACCCTACCCTACCCTACCTTACCATCCCTACCTACCCTACCTACTACCCTACCCTATCCCTACTACCCCTACTCCACCCTACCTATCTACCTACCCTACCTTACCTAACCCTACTCTTACCATTACCTACCCTACTCTACCCTACCCTTCCTACGCTACCATACCCTACCCCTGACTACAGTGCCCTACTCTACCCTACCCTACCCTACCGTACCCCTACACTACCCTACTGCTACCCTACCTACCATGCCTAGCTGCTTCATCTCTGCTCGTCGCTAATGCCCTTATACAATGCATTATGGCACTGTCTCATCTCAGCGACCACTGACCTTGCTTTATACTCGACGTTCGCACTCATCGTACCAGCACGTGAAGCCAGGTGACAGTTCAGTGAGCTTCTCGTTTCGCACGACGGATCGTTCTACGACGGTGAAAACAAACGTCGCTGCGCATGCCAATCTGGCGTACCATCCGTCCTGAAGATTCTACGACGGTTCTCGGGGGGTAAATCAATCCGTCCGTGCCGACAACGACACGACGTATAGCCAGGGCTGCCTCGCGTTGCGCATGCCCTCGCGTCTGGTCATCTCGCTGGTCATCGACGGCATACTTATGTGACATACCTTTGTCATGGGATACTTTGCCAGTGTTGATGTATTGTTATATTGTATGACTCTGATGCACACAAACCTTTTTGAAGCAAGCGACACGATGATAGGCAGACGGCAGTATGCACTTCCGTAGTTTCCACTATTTGGTCGCTGTTGAACACAGACTCATGTTGAACATCAAATCATAAGCCAGGCGTTGTGGATTAATGATGGGGCCTTTTACTAAGATTTTTAATTACTTAAAGCCGTCTATAGTTTTACATCTACATTAGTGTTCTTACTGACATGTTTAAGTCATTCAAACACGTAACAATGACATAACCGGTTAGAAGATTCGCCATTTTAAAGATACCGCGCGATCCAACAACAAAAGGTCACTCGTGACAAATCACATTCTGCTCGCCGTCGGTGAAAATCGAACACGAGTTACGCACGACGGACGCTCAGCACGCCCGACGGATCGGTCACAGGTTTTTTTAATTCCCGTGCTAGAACGCATCCCGATCGTGCCAAAACGAAGCTCACTACTTGCGCGCGTCGGGCGGCCCGTGTTGTGTGCCTCTCATCATGCAGCGGCCTCGGGGTCGTTGTAGTACTTACCTTGTCACGTAACGACAACGCCGGTAGCTGCTCTCCACGGCTCGCCATTGCGGATCTTGTCCATTTGCTGCTCACCTGAAGCCACGTTGACTGCAAACAGAAAACGCGTGCATATTACTATATATATATACATATATATATATATATATTATATATATCATGCATAGAGAGAAAGAGGCAGAGAGCAGAGACGACGAGAGGCGGGAGAGAGAGACGAGAGGAGGAAAGAAAGAGTGGAGGAGAGAGATAGAGAGAGGGAAAGAAAAGAGTGAGAAGAGGCAGAGAGGAGAGCTCGAGATCAGATGGGGAGACCGAGCGTGAACAGACGGGAGAGCCGTAGACGAGAGACTGGAGGCGGGAGAGAGAAAAGAGAGAAAGAAGAGAAGGCAGAGAGAGAGCGAAAGAATTTTAGGGAGAGAGAAGAGAAACGAGGAAGAACAGAGAGAGGAAAGAAGGCAGAAGAAAGACAAAGAAAGAAAGAGAAAGAGAAGAGAAGAAGCGAGAGAGGAGAAAAGAGGAGGAGGAGAGAGATGCGAAGACGAGAGAGAGAGAGCAGACGGAGCAACGAGAAGAGAGAGAGAGAGAGGAGAGACGAGATGAGCATGAGAGAGAAAGAGAAAGCGAAAGCATCGAGAGTAAAGCTATTATTTATGTTGTTACTAGAATGATCGAGCTAAAGACAACCGTAGATTCACCTGACACCTCGTTGCTGTCTGCGACGCCCATGTTGTTATCTGTAACGATAAACGACGACACGATGGCTGGCCTGAGCGTACTATACCACATCTCAACCACGAGAATGTCCATCTATAACTCTCCTTAATACCATGATCCATAATTATATTATCCTGATTAATGTTATTAAAACATGAAACGACGTGCGAGAAAAGGAATTAACGCGACAAAAACGAACACACACACACACCACATACGCGCCGGGCGTAATCAAAAAACACACGCCAACATACACTGCGCGCGCTGCCGCACACATAACACGCCACACACAAGCCCGCGCCACCCACACACGCGCGCGGCGTAATCACCACAACACTGATGCACACGCGCGCGGGCTCACGCACAACAATACACACACACACAACACACACACGCGCGCGCCGCCGCGCGCACACACACACACGCCAACACGCACACCCGCGCACCGACGCACACACACACACACACAACACACACACACACAACACTCACAACACACACACACACCACACACAGACGAAATGCGTGGGGTAGCTCGGTGCATGTTGGCGCGCTCTGTCGACGCGTTTGGGGCTGCGGGCTGAGTAGAATAGCAAGATCCACTTGCTATGAGCCAGACTTCATGCTAAAGTCGCCATTCATCCACCCCAACCGCACCAAAGGGTATCTAACTCACCAACCGCCGCAAGTTGCTGACGGCCCTGACCACCATCCCCTGACGTCCCCCTGCTCGCCACCATCGCATCGAGCTCGCCCTCTTACGTTGTGCTACAGGATGCTCCGGCCCGCTGCTATCGTCGCGTTTGTCCGTCTCCTGTTCGCCGGCAATCATTGTCACGAGTCTTGAAAAAGGACGAGGCTGCTGCAGTTGTAGTGAGCCTCACCACACAGCAGCGCGGGAGCCCCCCCACCATACTTACTAACTCATGACGGCTTCGGTTGCTCCTCCCGTTGTCAGAAACCAGTATTAAATAGTTTATGATTATCATGAGAAGCAGACGATGGCGCCCATACCCGCCTCCCGCGAGGAAAGAGACAGAGAAAAATAGGATCAGGGAATCCCGCAGTCGAGAACGAGAGCGAGGAGAGAGAGAGAAAGGGAGACGAGAGAGAGAGGAGAGAGAGCAGAGAGAGGAGGAGAGAGGAAGGAAACGACGATTGAGAGAGAGAGAGAGAGGACGAGAGAGGGAAGGACGAGAAAAGAAGAGTGAGAAAGAAGAAAAAGAGAAGAGAGAAAAAGAAGGACAGTGTGAGGAGAGTGGGTGAGAGAGAGAGAGAGAGAGAGAGAGAGAGAGAGAGAGAGAGAGAGAGAGAGAGAGAGAGAGAGACTAAGAAGTAATAGTGGACATCAATGGGTTAGCTTTCATAATTCTCCCATAACATCCCCCTTCGCTGGTGTTTGCGCCCAAACCCCACCCCCGTCCCCGTTCATATACCTCCGTTACAGGTGTGTAGCTTATCTACGCAGGTCGTACCGTCCTCCGTGTATCCGTTGTAGCACTCGCACTGGAAGCTGCCGCGCGTGTTCGAGCACGTAGCCGCGAAGTTGCTGTCGTCCTGTCGCGCGTCTGTGCGTGCTCGCCTTCCTACCACAATGTGTTTGCGGGCGTGTGGCACAAACGAACCGATTGCTTGTATTACAGACGTGGACGAGTGCGCGACCACACCGTGCGATCACAACGCCACCTGTGTCGACCACGTGAACCACTACACGTGCGACTGCATGCCGGGATACGTCGGTGACAACTGCGAGACAGGTACGAAGAAACCCCGCGAACAGCGCCGCAGCATAATCTTATAAGAAAAACGTCGCGTCTCATCTCCACTTGTAATGCGGCACCCGCACTAGTGCAATTGCCAATGTCGACTTAGAGGCGTAGAGAACTGAATTAGAAGCCATGACGTGATAGGGTTTCCGATCTATCAGCTCCATTTTGAGCGTTTTCATGAGTCATCATCGTCTACACACAATCAACACGCGGGGGCAATGTATTCGGAAGAGGTTCGAACCACGCTTGAGTGGAGACTTGGTGGTAGCCGTGCATGGTAGTCGTTGGTCAGCACGGGTTTCCTTCGTAGCTATCAGATCTGTTCAAGATGTCAAGATTCAAGATGTTTATTTGTGCATAAGTCGTGTGTATACGGCTTACAGCGGCAAATAGGAAATATACAAGTCATAGTTAATATCTAGTTTACAAAGGAAGCACAGGAGTGGCGAAAGAAACCGCAAGTCAGAATAGAGAGTGTGTTGCAGAGACTGTTGTAGATGTGAATGTATTTTCTTGGTAATTCCTTTCAGACTTTGACGAGTGTGTATCCGATCCTTGTCTCAGTGGCGCCACCTGCATCGACGTTGTTAATCATTGCTCCTGCGGGGACGGGTACACTGGATACAACTGTGAAACGGGTATTATACGAACGAGTTTAGTTACGTACTCAGGGATGGTAGAGATAACACAGATGGAGAAAGAGGCGGAGAGAGAGAGAGAGAGAGAGAGAGAGAGAGAGAGAGAGAGAGAGACACCGCGAGCAAAAAGGTCAGACAGAGACAGAGAGAGAGGTCGAAAGAGAAGGAGAGAGACAGATAAACAGAGAGAGAGGGAGAGGAAGAGAGACACGGAGAGAATGAGAGAATGAGAAGGGTGAATATATCGTGACGATAGGAGAATGTGCATTGACAACAATTGTTTGATTGCAGACATTGATGAATGCATGAGCGCACCTTGCCTAAACGCTGCGACCTGCGTTGACAATGTCAACGGCTATACGTGTACCTGCGCACCTGGCTACGTGGGGGACAGATGTGAAATAGGTACATTTGTAATGAGCGTATTAATAAGCGTGTTAAGACGTAACGATGCTCACACAAAATGGCCCGCAAACGGATTATCATGGATGTGTGTGTGTGTGTGTGTGTGTGTGTGTGTGTGTGTGTGTGTGTGTGTGTGTGTGTGTGTGTGTGTGTGTGTGTGTGTGTGTGTGTGTGGTGTGTGTGTGTGTGTGTGTGTGTGTGTGTGTGTGTGTGTG